TCTGATTCTTTTTCTCTCTCATCTTCATTGGTATCCATGAGGATTTCATATTCTACCTCAAGTTGGTCAGCAGCATCAAATGCTTTCTTGTGCTCTACAGCTCCAAAGTCTTCTGGCATAAGGTACAACCTGTCAGGTATACCAGCAATGGTTTGGTGTCTTGAACTGCAGATTAGATGGCTGTTCCAATCATTCTTAACTTGACTCAACTCGTTTTCGATACCTTTTGCTGAATAAAAACCAAACGCACTCCATTTGCATACAATTGCTTGTATCTAGATCTCCCCTGTCTACCATATCTTTTAAAAAATTCATCTACCACAAACTCCAGTTCCTTGGAAGAAAGGCCCACCAACCCTCAATACCTTGATTAGTGTGGGATGAACTATAACGATGAGCATTAAGTCCTGCTAATGAATCCTGGTGGAGAAAGCATTGTACTGTTGCCATACTACCATTTTCAGTGCCTCTGTCAGTTCCTAACAGTGCTGGGCAACCTTGCAGTTCCTTAACACTCTCCATAATGAATGAGGCAATGATTCTAGGATTTTTGTTGCTTCTGGTAAGTTTCAGCCAAATTATTCTCCTACTGTATCCATCAGTATGCCAGCAAAAGTTCAGCCTGGGATTAGAATACTGTCGTCTTTTGAGGTGATGACCTTTTCTCTGCTGAGTTCCCTCTGGATCGAGTTCAGCCAACAAAACCTGGACAGTTGACCTTAGAACATTAATTCCAGATTTTGAATGAAGCTTTTGCCACATGGACCTGTATCCAAGAAGCGATCTGGAGCCGTCAAGCTCTCTTGCAATATGTTCGCGTACAATTTGTTCAGCTATTGCCCTTTCTCTTCTGCACAGACCATACGTTTTTAGACAATTCAGAAGAGTTCTTTTGGACATTTTTAGTCCGTGGAATCTTTCAAGAAAGTCCAAAATGGTATTGTAATCATAATTCTTTGAAAAGTAAAATCGAATAGCTTCTTCTTTATTATCCACCATGTTCAGACTTTTTATTGTGCCTGCATATCATACAGGCCAGCGGAAACAAAACTAGTGCGTTGGAAAGTGTGTTGTATTTTTGGCGATTGTGTTGTGTTTTCAGTGTGTGTGTGTTGTGTTTTCAGTTTGTGTGTGTTGTGTATTCATTTTGTGTGTGTTGTGTTTTCAGTCTGTGTGTTGTGTTTTCAGTTTGTGTTGTGTTTTCATTTTGTGTGTGTTGTTTTCATTTTGTGTGCGTTGTGTTTTCATTTTGTATGTGTTGTGTTTTCAGTCTGTGTGTGTTGTGTTTTCAGTTTGTGTGTGTTGTGTTTTCATTTTGTGTGTGTTGTGTTTTCAGTGTTTGTGTTGTTTTGCACTTATGGGCCACCGTAGAAAAATCACAGATAACGTCTCTAGGATGTGTAAAGAGCCTTTTCGGTCTCTCAATCTTAGAATACACGGTCTGCCTTTCTTATTGTTGATTGCTGACTTTATGCACACAAAACTTCAATTTCAAACCTCCAGGATGATCTTTGAAAACTATGACATTTACCAATCTTAAATCCTCTTAAATGCCCAGGTAAATTTGCCTCCATTTCTACGACTTCCTATTCACCATGCATGTAACATAAAAAATTGAGAAAATTATCTGTTTTGGCAAAAAAATGACAGCTAGATAACTGATTAACATCTGGGAGTAAATCATCTTGTTATTTGGGGTAAAATTCAGGCTTTTGTCCCAGGAGCAAGAAACCCTGCAGAATGCCTCTTTTAAGACCTCATAAATATATTCCAAATGTTGGGTAATGAAATTGCCATAATATAGGAAAAATATTTCTTAAAGATTGTACAGTAATTAAGTTTTCATCTGCAAGAGCTGTCTTTTTCCTTGAATGATTAGAATGATCAGTAGAGACGTATTTTAAGTAAAACATAGAGCTTCGTTGATGACATTACTATAGGTACAAGTATTGTTGGATGTTATGTTACCAGCACTTCGTGTGCTTTGTGGACAATCTTTGTTATGCTATGGGTGATGTGCAGTTGAGTTCCAGTTATTATCCCATTAGCCACTAAAGTTTTGGTTTGATGCGATGTTGGGATGAGATAAAAAACTTAAGAGCTCAAAGTACAATTTTCAGGATATGTGGCAATGAAAGTGAGCCACGCCTGACAAGTCGCAAAGCTGGCTACTCCCCTAGCAACTCCACCCGATCACCTCAAAAAGGAAAGTGAACTAATTATGGGGCAAAAGAAACTTTTTCCTTCCATTCTACGATTGATAAAAGTTGAAGAAAAAGTTGTTCGGAGTAATTTTAGACATTGTTCTATCATTTAGTAGTGGTAGTGCATTTTTGTTACTGATTACTTTGAATAACTATTTTTGTGGAAATTAAATTACCCACCCTTTACTATTATTGAATCACTTATTTGTTCATTGGAGGTGACTAAAATTTTCCGTTTTTCCATCCAGGGGAGGGTGCAGCTACACGTTGGCTAAAATAAACCTTCTTCAGGGAATACTTTTTCTTCGTGCAGTTGTTTATCTGCACAAAATGTTAAAACCAGAATGGTGGAAAGTAAACAACAAAGCTATTCCTCTGAATATCGCATGACGTTGTGGTAAAGATATGTGTGTACGTAATTTCCAGCGGAAGTTCTTGGGTGGTGGTTTTGTCTAAATTTTCAGGCAGACCACCTCCATAAGAGTACTGACACTTATCAATACAAGTGTGGTATCTTCAAGGCAGAGAAAAAGAGAAAAGGCCTTGCTACCAGTTCGTGTTCGTCGTTAAAACACGACGGACAATTAAAATACTTAAGGGGTGAGGGCGAGCGAGGTACAAAAAAAAAATAAAAGCGAAAAGGAAAATTGAATGAAAAAAATCCATGCACGTCAATTAACCCTGAAACATATCCATGCTATGGCCAAAAAAATTCATACGAGAAATGATAACGAAAACAATTCCCACATTTCGAAATCTTCCCACCCCTCCCCCCCCATAACTTTTTACGCATTACCCAGCCACTCTGACCTGGCATTGTTTAGTGGATGCAGCGATGAAGTCCTTTGGCAAACTACAGATTCCTATTTCGCAAACTACAGATTTTCCATTTCGTTTCTTGGCTCATATAGCACGACAGGTCAACGTTGTCAGCCAAAGAACCGAGACACGGACAGTGGATGTAACATTGAAGATCGTATTTGAACTCAAGTCAATTTATTTTCACAGAACTAGTTTGCCTTTATTTCATATATTCTACTGCCAAGAAAAAAAAGAAAGGGACCCTCGAGTAGGAACATGGGCTGCGAAAAACAAAAACAAAAAAATGGACCCTCGAATAAATACCCTCCACCTCGACATAAGACCCTCGACGGCTCGACTAAAAGTTAGACTCGCCTGACCTGTTAGAAAATGTAACGCAAGGGTCTCCTACGTAGCAAATGTATGCAAAGGTCATCACCAGGATAATCTCCCGCCATAATTTAATTTTGACAGGGAAATTTCATTTTGTAAACTACAGATTTTCCATTTTGCAAACTACAGATTTTCCATTTCATTTTGCAAACTAGCAGAATTTTCATTTCGTTTCGTTTTGATTCGCAAACTACAGTAAGCTGCTATAAGAGCATCATTGATTCCCTGGAGTCATTACTTAAAAGCCCAAGAATGGAGGAGGATTGTGAAAAATGGCATACAAAGAAAATCAGGGAGGACTTGTGTGCAGATGTTAATGATGGGAAAATCTGGAAACAAGTGGGCAACTGGAAAGGCAATTAGCCTTTCCTCAATCTGCCTCAATCATTTGGCCTGGTGATGAATGTAGATTGGTTTCAGCTATTCAAGCATCGAAATGATTTTTCACTTGGAGTCATTTACATGGTATTAATGAAGTTGCCAAGAGGTTCCCACTTTAAGAAAGAAAATGTCATTCTTGTTGGTGTCATCCCTGCCCTAAACCATGAGCCAAAATCCCTAAATCACTTTGTTGAGCCAACTGTTAATGAATTGAATGCCCTCTGGAAAGGAGTCAAGGTAAACACTTATGAAAGTCCATTTACTGCTGTAGAAATTCAGGCAGCAGTATTGTGTTTTGCATCTGACATTTGAGCAGCACAGAAACTTTGTGGATTCCTTGGACACAGTGCAAAGAGAGGCTGCTTTCATTGCTACAAGATCTTTCCAGGTGGTTTTGGAGAAAAGAGGAACTACGGTGGCTTTGACGACCGAAATCAGTGGCCAAAAAGATCTTCTGAACAGCACAGAAGAGATGCAAACAGAGTTAAGAACTGTAAATCTAAGTATGCTTCTGATAAGCTAGCAAGCGAACTGGGATGCAGATACACTAATCAGTTAGAACTCCCTTATTATGCAAGTATAGAGATATGTATAATTGACCCCATGCACAACTTGTTTCTTGGAACAGCTAAAAGGGTCTTCACTAAATGGATTGAAGATGCCATAATCACTAAAGAAGGACTGCAGACCATTGAAGCAAGGATAGAAGAAGTTTCATCTTTATCAGACATTGGTAGGCTACCTGGAAACATCAAATCTAATTATGGAAGCTACACTGCTGCCCATTGGAAAAACTTTGTTGTTCTATTTTCAATGTATGCTCTGAAAGATGTACTTCCTGAACAACACCTTCATTATTGGCAATCCTTTGTATTAGCATGCCGCCTGCTCTGCAGACCCTGCATAAATAGGACAGACTTGATGGTTGCAGATTGTAAACTTTTACATTTTCTCAAGGATTATGAGAAAATTAATGGAGAACTGTACATAACACCCAATATGCATCTCCACCTTCACCTCAGGGAATGTGTGGAAAATTATAGCAGTATTTATGGATTTTGGCTGTTTAGCTTAGAAAGATACAATGGCATTTTAGGATCTTACCACACAAACAACAAGACTGTAGAAATACAAATCACGCGGAAGTTTGTGACTTCTGGAACTCTGGCGAATATGCAATATAGTTTACCAACACAGTACAGTGATCTCTTCCTGCCCAACTGCAAAGCACAGCTTGAATCCAAAGAGAGACATGAAGAAACCAGTCTATTTCCACAACTANTTTAACAATCGGTGGTGAGAGGTATGGTTCAACAGCGGGTTCCAGGCTTTGCCCTTATGCTCGAATAATTGCATCATGGTGTGACAACAATGGAATTATTAACCCTGGAATGATGAAGCCTGGAATAATTTGCTATTTCATTATTCACAGTTTGGAGATCAAGGGACAGCACAACATTCATGCATTTGCTGTTGTGGACTGGTTAAAGTCATCTTAGCAAGACTTTGGTTATTGTAATCCCCTGTCTGTTTGGTTTGCCAAAGAATTTGACAATGCTGGACCAGCAGTTTTCTTGCCTGTCCAGAGAATCCACTCAAAGTTTTTATCTGCTGATCGACTTTATTGTGAACAAAAGTACATTGTAATGTCTCCCATTTGCAGGAGAATCTTGCTTTAATGTTTTATTAAGAATGCTGTAAATACTTAAGAAAGTTAATCTCGTCACACTTTGAGGCTGCTTTCTGTCAATGCAAAGATTTCTAATTTCTTCCTTGAAGTTGTTGGCTTTTCAACTTTTCAACATTCAAGTACAATGTGCATGTTCAGTGGCATTTTACCTGTTTGATGTTGTAATGTTACAGGGTGTCTTGTACCTGTTCTCAAATATTATTGTTATGACTTTAATTTCAAGAGGGAAACTGTCATGGATATTACTTCTGAAATTTAAGAGTCTAAAGGTTTGTTTAAACTACTAGAAAATTATATAAAGGAATTCCAGTTTTGTTAACATTTCTCTGCAAAAGTACTAAAGCTACAAGAGAATTGATATCATGATACCATCAGGAGCTTTAGATCTTAAATTTAGAAAGTCTGGCACAGTTTTCAAAGTTGTGTCCTAGGAGCTTGAACAGAATAGCTAAAATACATATTTACATTTATATTTATATAGCGCAGACTTCTATGTAGATATATTCAGTTGCGCTTAACAGAATAGTAAGGTTGAGATCGGAAGTCAGCAATTTTATCAGGCGCCTCTGGCAGCCGCTTCAGTCCATGTAGCAATCTCACCTTCCCACCCACTACACAGTAATCTCATGCATGGGAAATTTATGTCTCCTACCCCTAACCCAGCAGGAGACCAGACCTACAGCTTTACATCTTATCTGAGAAGACAAAGGAATTAATGTGAGTGAAGCGTCTTGCTCAAGGACACAAAGTCATGCCCCAGCCAAGACTTGAACCCAGGCCAACAGAACCAGATTCCAGCGCACTCACCACCGGACTACTCACACCTCACCATCTGATAATGGTTCTCCCACTCCTGAAACTTAAACTTTAATTTACTTGATATCTCCCTACTTGTTTTAGGCACTTTTTGTGAAAGTACTCCTATCCGAGTTTAATAAATATCCATGTGACAGCTAAAAAGTATAAGATATGCTATAAAATTGAGATGTAGAGAGTGAAATTAAATTATATTGGTAAAAAATGTAACAATCCTATTTTGTTGTGAGTATTTTTTGAAAAATTGGCAGCTGTGTAATACTCAGGTGGATGGGGTTACTGAAGTGTAACATTGTCCCAATGTATTCCAATTTTTTTATAGCTGCTAATTTATCACAAAATGACCCACCTACACAAATGGCCTGACTGCCTCAAATAAACCAAACTGATCCAATAATGACTCTGTCACCCAAATGACTTGACTGTCTCAAATGAACCAAATGCAATTTGTTTTAATGACCCAATTATCTCTAGTGACTACATCATCCCTAATGAACCAATCCATGCAAATGACCCGACTGTCTCAAATGAACCACTCTGTTCTAATGATCCAGTTGTCTCTAGTGACCCACCATCTCGAATGAACCAATCCAGGCAAAAGATCAGACTGTCTCAAATGAACCAATCTGTTCCAACGACCAAGTTATCTCTAGTGACCCCACCATCTCTAATGAACTAATTCAGGCAAAAGACCGGACTGTCTCTACTGAACCAATCTGTTCCACTGAACGTTCCAATTATTTCTTGTGATACTAACATTTCTTATGAATCAATCCACACAAATGACCCAGCTTCCTCTAATGAACTAATCCGTTCCAATGACTCAATTATCCCTTGTGACCCCACCATCTCTAATGACCCAATCCACACAAATGACCGGACTGTCGCAAATGAACCAATCTGTTCCAATGAGCCAATCATCTCTAGTGACTCCACCATATCTAATGAAGCATCCAGGCAAGTGACTGGACTGTCTCAAATGAACTAACCTGTTTCAATGACCCAGTTGTCCAATGATCCAATTATCTCTAGTGACCCCACCATCTCTAATGAACTAATCCAGGCAAAAGACCAGACTGTCTGAAATGAACCAATCTGTTCCAATGACCCAGTTATCTCTAGTGACCCCACCATCTCTAATGAACCAATCAAGGCAGAAGACTGGACTTTCTCAAATGAGCCAATCTGTTCCAGTAACCCAATTATTTCTGGTAACCCCAACATCTCTAATGAACCAATCCAGGCATAAGACCGCACTGTCTCAAATGAACCAATCTGTTCCAATGACCCGACTATTTCTTGTGACCCTAACATCTGTAATGAACAAATCCTCGGAAATGACCGCACTATCTCAAATGAACCAATCTGTTCCAAAAATGACTCAATCACCTAAATGACCTAACTGTCGCAAATGAACCAAATACTATTTGTTCCAATAACCCAATTATCTCAGTGGCCCCACCATCTCTAATGAACCAATCAATGCAAATGACCCGACTGTCTCAAATGAACCAATCTGTTCCAATGACTCGATTACTTTTTGTGACCCCAACATTTCTCATTAACCAATCCACACCAATGACCCAACTGCCACAAATGAACCAATACACCTCTGAATTATTAAAGGAATTTGCCAAAGCATACAAGTTCAATAGGCCTTTTGCAACAAACTGTCACGTGACCGATTTTCCCTTGGCAAATGGTATGACAACAATGGAATTATTAACCCTGGAATGATTAGTTTAATTGGAGCTAAAAGGGTTTGTTTTACAGTCTTGCCATCAGCAGAAGTCTCCAGCAGGACTCAAAGTAGGGGTGTTATGTGAAGACAAACAAAAAATAATTCTGTGTCTCCCTGGTCTTTTTGTTAGTTTGAGGAGAGTAGTGTGGAGCTTTCTTTTACAAGATGACCCAGCAGCAAAGCAGCCCAGGAAGCCATGGTAGCCTTACAGGCTGCTAGAATTGGCTGTGTTATGAAGATTAATAAGCTGGTAGTCTTCTTCAAAAGCTTCTAATAGTTGCCAACTCCCATCCAATTGCTGCTTGTGATTTAACACCAGAAGAGTACCATCAGGCACTTCTCACAAAAGACAAGAAGATCACAGAGGACTTGCTAGAAACTTTTATGAATGTTCGTCCACAAAAGGATGAGATTGTAGCTTTCTTAGAGGCAACAGAACAAATCCTTTTAATTAATATTGTACTGCTCATCATAATGGCAAAGATGGAACATCTAAATCATTAAGGAAACTTAGCACCGCTTTTACACGAAACAGCAACCATCAGCTTACCCTTTCACTTTTCACATAACATAGTGTTAACATTACTCCTTTAGCTTCATACAAGCTCAAGTCACTTTGGGTTTCCATGAACTCTTGCAGCTTTCTTCTGATGAAAAGCAAGACATGTGAAGGGGTTTCAAATATGAAACTTCATCTACTTGTCTAACTTACATTTTTTTGTGGTAATTTACTTCTGCTCTGTGAAATAAAAAGGGAAGATAATCCCATATACTCGACAAATGGAAAACTGCTACATCGTACATAGACGCTGCAAAGCCCATCCAGCAGACTTGAAAAAAAAAAAATGGCTGGAAAATCATGGACACTCTTTTCTGGTAAAACTAGTGCTAAATCTCACTATTGTGTTATTGTTGCCTCCTGACTATAATAGATGTACATAAACTTGTTAATAACAAATTGGATACACAATTTATTTTTTCACTTAGGTGTAGACATTAATTACAAATTGAAACTTAATTAATATTGCAGAGAAAAATAGTTTATAAAAATTTAAGTTGATCATGTTCCATCTAAATTTTATTATTTTTGTATTTTGATGTGATATTTCAAAAATAGAACATCCAAAGAAAATAATGACAAAATTGAATTAATGAAATTGATTTCATTATAAAGAAGGATTTAGACTACAATAGATGTAAATAACATTATTAATAACAAATTGGATAGATACAATCTATTTTTTACAGAATTGTGTTGAAAATTTTTCTTTAATACAAATTTAAACCAAATTAATATTGTAGAATGCGATAGTCATAAAAATTTATTTTATTCAGGTACCTTTCATATTTCATTCAATATATTTCAGAGTGACATTTCAAAACTGAACACCCAAAGAAAATAAAACATAACTGAATTAACAATGAAAGTTCTTCTTCATTTCAATCATGCGCTCATGCGCGTATTGACATGTTTACTATAACTATTACCTGGATCATGCTGGGGGCTGGGAATGGGAGATGTTGAAGTTTCTATTTGACCAGCAAATAATTATACTCTATTTCTAATTGTTGCTGTAGTCGCCAACATTAGGAGGACTGCGAACGTCTGGTTTTAACTGCTGCCCTGACTCAATAATCACAGTTCCATCCAACTTTTAGCCCTGAAGTAGACGATCTTCATATTTTTTTACATTATGCTGAACATAACTCGGCAATTCCTGATTTATCTTCATCGCCACGCCTCACATTGAGACTGCGTGGCCGGGAGATCAGCACGTTGAACTCGCAACCCATCACTTCTGGGTTCGACTCCCACCCTCACCACTACCTGGATTTGTTTCGCGGTATAGCTCAAAGTTAAAATCCTCGACCACACTTGTAAATAACCAACTGGTTTGCCTGTGGCCAGTTGGGATTTTCAGCAATCTCATGTTCAATTTGAATTATTTATTTCAATTGTTTGCTGAGCCCCACTAGCACTTTAGTTATAAACACTGCC